GTATTGAAGGAAGAAGTCGAAGCTGCACTGAAGGAGTTGGCAAAGAACAAGGGTCCAGGAATGGATGGAATATCCATTGAGATGTTTAACAAACAGATGCCCCCTAGAGACACTCACTTGGTTATGCCAAGATATTTGGAAGACAGCTACCTGGCCAACTGACTGGAAGAGATCCATATCTTTACCCATTCCAAAGAAAGGTGATCCCACAGAATGTGGAAATTGTTGAACAATATCATTAATATCGCACGCAAGTAAAATCTTACTGAAGATAATTAAAAAACGGTTGCAGCAGTGTATTGACAGAGAACTTCCAGGGGTGCCGGCTGGATTCAGAAGAGGGATATATCATTGCTGATGTCAGATGGATCTTGGCTGAAAGGAAAGAATACCAGAAAGATGTTTACTTATGTTTTATTGAGTATGCAAAAGCATTTGATTGTGTAGATCATAAAAAATTGTGGATAACATTGAGAAGAATGGGAATTCCAGAACACTTAATTGTACTCATGAGGAACCTGTACATAGACCAGGAGGCTGTTGTCCGAACAGAACAAGGGGACACTATACGGTTTAAAATCAAGAAGGAAGTGCGTCAGGGTTGTATCCTTTCACCATACTTATTCAGTCTATATGCTGAGCAAATAATCTGTGAAGCTGGACTATATGAAGAAGGTTGTGGCATCAAGATTGGAGGAAGACTCATTAACAACCTGTGATACGCTGATGACACAACTTTGCTTGTTGAAAGTGAGGATGACTTGAGGCACTTACTGATGAAGATTGAAGAATACAGTCTGCAGAATGGATTACATCGCAATATAAAGAAAACAAAAATCCTCAGAACTGGACCTATAAGCAGCATCATGATAAATGGAGAAAAGACTGAAGTTGTCAGAGACTTTACATTGCTTGGTTCTACAATTGATGCCGATAGAAGCAGCAGTCAGGACATCAAAGGGTATATAGCACTGGGCAAGTCAGCTGCAAAGGACTTCTTTCAACTGCTGGGGAGCAAAGATGCCTCCTTGAGGACTAAGGTACGCCTGACACAAGCCATGGCATTTCAGTCGCCTCATATACATGTGAGAGCTGGACAATGAATAAAAAAGACCAAAGAATTGATGCTTTTGAGTTGTGGTGCTGGCGAAGAATACTGAAATTACCATGGACTGCTAAAAGAGCTAACAAATCTGTCCTAGAGGAAGTGCAACCGAAATACTCCTTGGAAGCCAGAATGGCCAGACTTCGTCTCACCTATTTTGGTCATGTTGGCAGAAGACACCATTCCCTGGAGAAGGATGTCATGCTTGGTAAGGTGGAGGGTGGATGAAAGACGAAAAGGCCCTCAACGAGATAGATTGACACAGTGGCTATGGTGATGGGCTCAAGTATAGCAAGGATCACAAAGCTGCTGCAGGACTGGCCAGTGTTTTGTTCTGCTGTGCTTTGAGTTGCTTTGAGTTAGAGAGGACTCAATGGCACCTAACAACAACAGTGGTGCAATGGCCAAGTACCCAACTGCCAACCAAAGGGCTAAGACCCGCACTCACCAGCTGCTCCGTGGGAGAAAGATGCAGCGGCCCACTTCCTAAAAGATTTACAGCTCTAGGAATTCCATGGGGCAGCTCCACTCCCCCCCACAGGGTCTTTTTGAATATCAGAATCAAATCAGAATGAGCAGCAGTGGGCTTGGTGTCTTCTCCTGAAAATCACTAGAAAGCGCTCTTATTCTTAGGTTTTTTTTTTTTTTTTTTTTTCCCCTACTGGTGAGTTAGGAGTTCCGGATGCTTGATTTCTGGAATTCAATACACATGTGTGGGAGAGACAGTTTAGCTGGCTGCAGATGCTGACATTAGTGGTGGGGCTTGACTTTCCTATGGTGAAAGTGGGGGCCTCTCTATGTCTTTTCCCTCATTTGGCATTCCTAGACAGGCTCTCCTACAATGCCCCACTTTGGGCAGGGACCCAGTCCTTTCCCAGTGTGTCACTGTCTGTCTAAAACATTTCACTTGCCATGTTGCCTTTGTAGTTCCTCCTGATCCCAGTGCCCATTCCTGTTGGGTCTCAGCAAGATTCAATAGCACTCTCTCACACCACCCTGGTCTTGCTTCATCCCTTCCCAATTGCAAAACCCACAGACTTCCACAGTCAATTTGCATAGCCTTAAAACATCAGGCTACAGCTTCCTCAGATCAGCTCCCTTTCTGTGTTCCCTGTTTGAGGTCTTCCCAGCTGTGTCCCAGAATGGCTGTGATGAGTGCATGCTCCCAATGTTAGGTTCTCCCAGCTTCTCTGTACTGCTCCTGCTCCTTCTTTCCCCTGCTTCTCGATTCACCCTGACACGGTGTTGTTTTTATTTGTTGTTCAGTGGGTTAGTTGCTGGGAGAGTAAGTGGGAGCATCTGTTCTCTTTGCCATCTTGTTCCACCTATCAGTTAACTTCTAATCATCATTTTAGAGTTGAGGAAGCTGAGGCCTGGTCAGGGTGAACAATTTGCCCAAGCTCACACAATTAGTTAAAGGCATAGCCAGATTCACACCCAGGCAAGTCTGACCCCACAGCTCACATCCATCTATCTCATTTTCCACTCAAATACGTTATGTTTTTTAGATCTATTTGTCAAAGTGTTTTATTTCATTGACTGCAAACATAAGTGGGGAAAGTGCTAGCTAAAAATTAATTTTGCTAAAACATTTCAGCATAAAAATGTTGCTGTTTCTGTTCTGGAGAAGAGTGAATCCTGGTGTTACATGTCAGAACCACATTCACTATGATTCTTTTGTCCTGTAGAAGGTTATGAGGTTGCCTTACCAAGGTATCCAGGTACAAGAATATGGTCTTTAGAAATATTTTTTCACTTTAAATTTCAGCTGCGTATTTTCAAGGTAGTGTATGAGTGATACCACTTTGCATGCATTTTACAAATTAGTTGCTTTGACTATTAACCTTGCAAGCATTAAGAGGGCTATAGCAAATCCTCACTTTTGGAGTGCGTACTTTGTAGGAATTGAAAATGGAGAACATTGTGACAAGTCATGATTTTGGTATTCTTCAGTATGAAGATTAGATTGTGCTAAAATTAATCATATTAATTGTTCCATGTTATTGGTGTAAATGTAGCACTTTCTGGACCTGCTATTTAAAAAAAAAAAAAAAAAAACTGGGCAAAACTAATTTGCCACTAGATGGAGCCCTGGCTATTTGGGTAGAAACAAATGCAGGACAGTCTGAACGTTAAATCACAAAGTCGTACGTTGCTAGAGGGCCCCCAGTATTTGAGGCCCTTGGCTTTTAATTGTAGAATGCATCTTTGTTCTTTGCCTGACCTGCAGAGTGACATCACTGCCTTTCTTCCTGTGTGCTGGCTTTGACACAAGCCAGATGGCCCTGGCGATCGGTAGGCGCTCAGGCCGCCTGGTACTGCAGTTGATGAAACAGAATAGGAAGACGTTTTATGGTCAGCTGTGGGGCACAATGAGGCTACAACCTTACGAAGTAATTACATTTACTGTGTACACTTTATTCCTTGGCTAAGTAATTACATTTATTGTATATACTTTTATAGGTCACAAGAAAAAAAATACATTTTTATTTATAGTGTTGTGAGGTATAGACCTTTGATCTTTTATTAGTCAGTAGTCTGCTCCAAAGGAATGCTCTCTTTTCCTTGCTCTGCATTCACTCGTGAAAATGACATGTTTATTTATGTTTAATGGTTCTTTCAGGCTGTGCATTGTGATACTTACCTTTCCTCTTCCTCCCTTTTGTCTCCAGTTAGTAACACAAAAATGTTTTAGTTTTGTAGTAAGTTTAGTTTGAAGAAGTCAGAGTTCAGGCATGTTAATACAAGCAGATTTCTGTCAGATATACTCCAGAGTGATTTGGTAAAATACATTACTGTGTATTACGTGTTTGTTCTTTAAGGAGGTCAGAAGAGAGCAGGAACAGACTTTTATTTTTTTTAAGGGGGGAAAATGTAGGAAGTGAACAAGACGTTAATTTGACATCTGATTTTGGACATTTAGTAGTTAAACCACTTACAATGGTGATTTTAAATAAAATATTAGAAATTAATATTAATCTGTTATTTTCCCTGCCCATTTGGAGTTGCTCTTTACCTTAACCAGTTTAAATAGTGTATAAAACCTTTCTAAAAATTCTAAAATCTAAACTTTTCCCTAAGTTTAACAGTCACACAATTTTGAGATTCTTCTACATTGTTCATTTCCTAAAACTTTAAAAATACATTTATCTTTTTTAATGCTAGGCCAAGAATATTATTCACAGAATTATCTAGAAATTATAAATTGCACATTTCAATGAAAATTTATATTTGCCATCTTTCTTCAAACCTGACATTATTTCTAAAGTGAAGTCTCCTAGCTATTCCTAGGTTGTTCGGCTCTCTATTAAAAAAAAAATTCCAACAAAATAAATCTGTTAATATTACAGTATTTTACAGCCTTCTCTGGGGAGAGAGGTTTGCAAATAATTGCTAGAATAAGTCAGCATACTATAGGAAAGAACATGGCTTTGCAATCAGATATAATAGGGTTTCCTAATCCTTTTTCCACTAGTTGCTTGTGCCCTTGGACTTTTGAGGCTTGGTTTCCTCACATGTATGAGGGATAAAACCTACCTTCTAGGTTTATTGTAAGAATAAACAATATAGTGTGAATAATAGGCCTAGGACAGTGCCTGTCACATGGTAGGAATCAGTAAATGCTAATTCCTTTTAACTGTTTTTAAACCTTGTCTCTTAGCCTCTTGCAAATTATGTTCACAGATTATAGTGCTATTTTATAGTGTTTCTTTCATTCATAAGATATAATAAGCCTGGGTTGAAAAGTAAGCTCACACTATCTGAAAAATAGACATTTAAAATGTGTGTGTTCAGTTCCAGGTAAAACCATAGCCTTTGACTGTGCAAAGAATATGTTTAACATTGTGATATTTTAATTTGTTTTTCTTTTCTTTTTTTTCCTACTCAGCTCTTGCCCCTCTTCTTTGCCTCTCGTTTTGTTGGTGAAGATAATCACAGTGATGTCTGCATTCAACCTGCTGCATTTGGTGACAAAGAGCCAGCCAGTAGCCCTGCGAGCCTGTGGGCTTCCCTCAGGTTGCTGCTTGTTGTACTGTACATAGTGAGGGCACTGGTGGGTGTGGGTGTTTCTGCTGCAGGAAATAATACACCATAATGTTTTGCTGAATTTCGTTTTCTTTTACTTGGGCCCTAATTTGAAGGTGGAAATTGGTTATAAATCACTACTCTACTTTGAGTAACATTCATTTCCACAATCCATGCAACACTAGGAAACATTGTCTAGTTTCCTTGCCCAGTATATAATTGTCATGACTATTTCATGATGTTTTTTGTTCTTTAATGCCCATTACACATCCAAAAGTCATAATGTTCCTAAGAGACTGGAAGTCTTGATAAGACATTGCCTCAAATCACACAACATATGACATTCATCTTGTCATTTCACAGGTACCTACGTATTCTTTCAGAAAACAAACAAAAAACAAGAAAACAATAAAAATGAACAACCTTAGCGTTGTTGTTGTTAAGTGCTGTCGAATCAGACCCGACTCATAGCGACCCCTCCTTGGGTTTCCGAGGCAGTATCACTACAGAAGTAAATTGTCCAGCCTTCCTTCCAAGGAGTGGCTAGCTGGTGGGTTTGAACAGCCAGCAGTCAAGTGCCTTAGGCCCTATGCTACCAGAGCTCCTAACCTTAGCATACTTATTCATTGTAGCTAAAAGTAAAACATGTTCTACTTGATAATGTCTGAATAAATGGGACTATTATTGGCATGCCAGTTGGTTCTTAAATTAGAATGACCACACTTTTTAAAAATGTGATTTTAAGCATTTAAACAAGTGAGGTGTGAAGGTCCAAGATTTAATTATATGTCCTTCCAACATAAGTTTAATATTTTGATTTTATTATGAAAATCACATTGATCAGATATTTATTTCTGTATTATCAATATTATTTATATTTTCTATTAATATACATGTCTCTAATACCGCATTAGAGAGAATGTAATTCCAATTCATTAAACATTTGTTGAATATCAACTATGAGTGCCAGATACTGTATTAAGCAGTGAGGATACAAAGATAAACAAGATAAAGCTGCTTTCTTTAAGATGTACAAGATGGAGATTGGAGCCAATCATGGACCATTGCACCATATGGTGAAAAGTCTACACTACAAGTATTTATGCCTGGGGTATTATGGGACTCCAGAGGAGGATAATCCTAGCTCTTTGCTCAGGGGATGACAGTTTAGAGGGGAGGGAAGGTCTCTGAACTTTAAGGAGGCTCTATAGAGGATGTAGTGCTTGAGCTGAATCTCAGACTATGAGCAGCAGTTAGCTAGGTGTCCAAGAAGCGGGAAGACATTCCTAACATATGGAGTAGTGTGGGCAGAACACGAAGGCCTGTTAGGGCTTAGTGTGTTCGGAGAAATGCAGGTGATATAATAGGGCTAGCTTGAGTTTAGGGAGCTCTGGTAGCATAGTGCCTAAGGCACTTGACTGCTAACCAGAAGGCTGGCAGTTCAAACCCACCAGCCACTCCTCGGAAGGAAGATGGGGCAATCTACTTCCATAGTGATACTGCCTCGGAAACCCAAAGAGGGGTTGCTATGAGTCAGGTCTGACTCAACGGCACATAACAGCAGCTTGAGTGAACGAGGGCAAGTGGAACAAATGAGAAAGGAAAGATGGTTAAACCATGAAGGAATTTAAATCTTGTGATGAAGAGGAATAGCATGACTTGATTTACATTTAATGAAGATTGTATCAGTATGGTAGACAGTCGGTGCTAATTCCAGAATACTTCTATGGGAAGGGCTAGGATAGCAACCTTCCATAAAAAAGGGGATAGAACATTTGTCTTGAATCTCTGTTTGCATAGCAAACACACTGTTTTTTTTTTTTTAGCTTAATAAATAGTAATTTATTTTCTCACAATTTAGGAGACTAGAAGACTGATTTCAGGGTGCCAGCTCTAGGGGAAACTGTCTGTCTTCTCTGGGGGAAGATTGTTGTCTCAGCTTCTGTAACCGTGTTCCTCTAGTCCTCAGTTGTTTGGCTATCTCCCCATGGCCTCTGTCTTTGCTTACTCCTGCTTGCTAGCTTCTGTGCCTAATCTGCTTTTTCTTCTAATCTCAAAAGTGATTGGCTTAGGACAAACCCTACACTGATATGACCTCATAACAAAGAAAACCCTATTCCCAAATGGGATCACATCTACATGTTGTTGTTAGGTGTTGCGAGTTGATTTTCGGCTCACATTGACTCCATGTGGCAGAGTCGAACTGCCCCATAGGACTTTTTAGGCTGTAGTCTTTAGAGGAGCAAATCACCAGGTCTTTCTCCCACAGACCCACTGAGTGGGTTCAAACCACCAACTTTATGTTTAGCAGCCACGCACTTTACTGTTGTGCCACCAGAGTTCCTATCTACCTGTATGGGGTTAGGATTTATAAAACATATTTTGGGGGAACACAATTCAATCCATATCAGGCATATCTCATATATTTTATACATACGCAAAGAAGAAAATTAGAGGATTTTACCAGACATGTAAGCCATTGGTGGCCTGAGTAATGGGGTTATGTGATTTACATTTGTTTTTCTCTTTGCTTATCTCTACTGAAACACACTATTTTTTATAGGTTTTATGTCTACTTGTGGTAACTTCAGGAGCTACTGAAGCTTAATGCCTGGGGGGCTTTAGCCACTCTTCTCTACACCCCCTCACTCCCCACCCCCCAATCCTCAGCTGTTCCCCTCCACTGCCACCATAGAACGTATACTGAGGTAGTTTAGAGCTAGATAATGGCTGTTCCAAGTAGGTTTGGAAAGAAGTGGATGGATTAGAGAGAGATTAAGGCTGTAGAACTGAAGTTGTCTGTGAGTTTGATGGAGAACCTAAAGGAATACAGTCCCTGTGCTATGTAGAACTTTCATAGCTACATATTATATGTACTAACTGGAGTATGAAGGTTACTTAGTTTGTACATAACCACGTTTTCCAGTGGGGGGGTGGAACCCATGTGTGAAAGCATGCAGCATAGTTTTTGTAACATGGCTTATTGTGGGTTACACATAGTTCTTGTAACATGCTACACACATTAGAGGTCGAGTATTTACAGAAAAAATTTATTAATTAACAGTGTATCCCTTGAGATATGACAATCATAGAATTAAAGTTTCTCAAAATGAAATTGTTTTAACGAAAAATAAGCATCTTTAACACTGTGATATCAAAATGATTCACAGATTTCAAAAGAGCTTATAATTTAAAAGAATTAGCCCATAGAGTATAGTTCTTATGCATGCTGATTCTAGAGTTAGACTGGCCAGGGTTGATCCTGGCTTTGTTACTTACTAGCTATATGCTTTGTCTTCCTTGTATGTGAAGAGGGGATAATAATAGTACCCACCCGAAAGGGTTGCTGTGAGAATTCAGTAGATTAGGATGTGAAAAATACTAAGGACAGTAAATGGCATATAGTAAGGATTTGTGTAAATACTCACTATATCTGTATATCTATATCTATCTTCCTTCTTTCCTTCCTTCCTTCCTTCCTTCCTTCCTTCCTTCCTTCCTTCCTTCCTCCCTCCCTCCCTCCCTCCCTGGTAGCACTGGACTGCTAACCAGAGGGCTGGCGGTTCAAATCCACCAGTAACTCCTCGGAAGGAAGATGAGGCAATCTACTTCTGTAGTGGTACTGCCTTGGAAGCCCAAGGAGGGGTCGCTATGAGTCGGGTCCAACTCGACGGTACACAGCAACAACAACATATAGTATTTTTCTAATTCTATAGACTTTTTTTTTTTAATCACCTGCTTGATTGGCAGCCTCAGAGAGAGCAGAGCGCAGGACTGGAAAGTTGCAACAAATTCCTGTCAACTGTCTGTGAGGAAGTGACAATAGACTTTTTTTTTTTTTTTTTTTTTTAACATTCAGTTAGGTTCTTTCATTTAACTGTTCTAGCTTATATCTACACATGCACTTTATGTTTCAGAAATAACCATCTAAAGCTGTTGTTTTTATCTCTTTAATTTGCTTATACATCCTGCTGAGCCAGAATTCAAGTCTTAAAAATATACAACACATTTATTTTTTCTACCCAGTACTGATGAAAGCCCAGAGAAACTATCTTTCTTTCTTTTTGAAATAATGTTTTATTATGTTGTGGTAAGGGTTTACACAACAAATTACTCAGTGACATTGGTTACATTTTTTAGTGTGCCAGCATTCTCACTCCATTCTGGTTGTACCATTTCCAGGAATCTAGTTTCCTTGCCCTCTTACTTGCATATCTTTGCTGTAAGGTAATTGACCATGTGGTACTCTCTCTCTCTTACCTTGGGCTTGTAAACCTATTTTAATTTGATGAGTGGGTTGGCTAGAACAGTATTAAATAATTTCTTAACCATTCAAGCATCATTTACATTTTAAAGTTTTATAAAAGTCATTCTTGCAGAGTGCCTACATGTTTTATAACTTGAATACTAGCAAAATCTTCATCTATTTTCTGAACAAAATTTGGCTCTTAGAAATACAGGAATGTTGAAGAAATTGTTATGTTTAATAATAATGAAATGAACTATTTACATTTTGAATAAAAATGAAATTCAAATGGGAATTCTACTCCTTACTACTTTGTGCAAGTAAGGAAGGAAGAGGCCAAAATTAGAGGTTTAAGAAATTAAAAGTTTGAGTTGCTTTAATTTACTGTTCCCTGGTCAAAACCCATTACAACAAATATCTCTGTAAATCAAAAAGATTCTGCTTTCTAGCCAATATCCTAAATTCTAGTATTAAGCAATACAAAATAATTCCAGAACCAAAAAATAATTGGAACAGGCTCTTAAAGTTGATTATAACTGGATTGACCTGTAGAAGGCCATATCCCGGAAGAGTGATCTGTCATCTTTTAGCTTTGACTTCCTTTACTTCTTATTTTTTATTAAAACATACTTTTAATTTAGAGCTTATTAAGTGCATCTGAGTTATGGTTCATTCATGTTTGTAATTAAAGGTATTTTTCTCTGTCTCCCAGAATTTCTTCTTAATTTCCTATAACAGTTTCTTT